CACAATGTAATTTTTGATGCCAACCTGCACCATCCCAAGGCTGATATGCTCCACAGCACTCTGGAACTGACTGTCTAGCCATCGAATCTGGAACAGCGAAGCGTTCTTCCATTTCTGGACTAGGCGATACACACGACCAATAATGTACGCCGTGCCAATTGGTCTGTAGACCTTTGCTTTCATCCATCGATCTTTTTCGGGCGAAAATGCAACTAGTTTGCCCACGTAGACATCCTGCAGCATGATGGAGGAGTACGTGTAGGAGTTGCTGTCTCAGTTGGTGCTGCGCGCCCTGGTTCTGGTGATTCTAAGCCTGCAACACTTTGACCTTGAATCTCGTGACCACTACTGCCTGCCTGCACCGTTGTTCCACCAACATCACGACCACGTGCGTCTGCAGTACCAACAAGCACATTGTTACGTTGTGACTAAAACCAATACCAAACTCATAAACACACCTTCCGATATTCGGCCGCTAGTGACTCGCGGAACTCCACGAGCTCCTCGACCTCCATGCCCTCCTGGGGCACCACGGCCTTCTCGTACTATTAGCGTTACACGCCTGGCTCTGACTGCTAAGTCGACAGCACCAACGGCACTGCCGCCACTTTCAGTGCTAGCAGCGTTCGTCGATCGTGGGACACCCCCCCCCCCTCTAGCTTCTCGCCCTCCTCGGGCTCCGCGGCCTCCTCGGGTTCCACGAACTCCGCGGGACCCATGCCCTCCTCTCGCTCCGCGCGCGGCACCGGCGCCGGCTGCCGGAACGTCAGCACCCACGCCACCGGCACGGCCGACATCAGCCATCCCAACATTGCCGCCTGCACCAACAACAATGCACACAGTTAGAAACTAGAACCGCACCACCGCCACAGCCCAACCCACACCTTCAGCGCTACCGCCGCTCCTTGCTCGTGAGGCGCCACGCCCGACCCGAGCTCCACGCCCTCCTCTCGCTCCGCGCGCGGCACCGGCACGGCCGACCTCTGCCGCTTCGCCGGGAGCTGCACCCTCTTCAAGATCGCCGCACTTCCCTCTCTCATGGACGTTAGCTGCGTTGGTGCCTATATCAAAACCAAAACAAAGCCCAATTAGTCCACGGCGTCTCCAGTACCCCTCAGTCGGGCCTCCGTCTCCAATACCTTCTTCAGCACCGACTTCGAGGCGCGTCTTCACAATGTACCTTAGGACGGCCATTTCTCCAAGTAGATAATCGGCCCCCTCTTCGCCGTCGTGTCGCCTTCCAGGCCGAATCTATTTGTAGCGTGTGTCCAAAGACTTGGTAGAAGGCTACTTGGACGTCCACCCGATCTTTGCCAACGCTCGCCACTCGCTGTTGAACACAGCAACGCCCCCGAGGCTGCTCGCTGTCTCTGCAGGTGCCTCCTCGCTACCGGTACGCACGCGTCGCCGCTTCCTTGCCGTATTCGTGCCTTCATGCCTGCGCTTCTGGCCACGCGGCACTTCCGACATTTTCTGCTTGTTTTACAAATGAGGATGAGGACCGATGGACGGCTGGTACGCGTCGCCTATTCGTGGAGAGTATAAGGGTACATAAATACATATATTCCATCACGACTTGTTTTTATTTACATTCAAACAAAGAAACAATTAATTTTTGGAGTAACCTCCAAAGTTTGGGCGCCAAGTTTGCGAGCAAATTCTACCATACAAAATGCCACATTCAAATACAAAGCATAAGATTTATGCATCACTGCACTGCGTTGTGGTTACACCATCGCCGCCCATACTGGAATGGACATATATGCAACCTAGTGTTCTACACGCTCAAATCGGAACCTTGAGCACCTATAGCTTCAAAACCAAAGGTGACTCTTTGAACAGTATCTCCAAAAGCATCCACAAACGTATAGCGGCTTACATGTTATCGCGGGAAACCAGCGGCATGATCTCGCCTGTCATCACCATCTTAACTATATAATGTCGTGAACTTCGGAAGCTGCATCAGTGTGGGCATCATCCTTCGGCAAGCCATCATCCAGAAAACGGTTAGTGGCGCGAATATCTTCGTAAGTTTCGTCGTTATATTTCAGCGGTGGTACGCTGTACCGATTTTTTTTTACCAATCATAATAGAAGGTGGTCCAATCGACCTCGAGTTGTCTGAGTGTTCACTTATTAGCCAATCAGAATGTTACCTAAAAGGGCGAATTTTGCGCCCTTTTAGGGCAGAAGACACCACATCAAACTGCATCAAGCTTGATTTGCACACCATCCCTGTCTTTACCAATACCTAAAAGGGCGAATTTTTCGCCCTTTCAGCTCTTATTGACTTGACCTGTAAAGCATAGAAAAAATGAGCTTAAATGTGCTCCTCGCGAAAGGGTTAAATTCGAAGGTAGAGATAATGATAATTGAGATACAGCTACAGATTTTTTAGGAACATTTGGCAGTGTCGATGTGAAACACGGAATTATAGTAGTTTTGGTTTAGACTAAAGTTCTACGAGATTTTATACTAAGAAGCGATTTGGGAATCGATCCACAGGATCAGTTATCCTGAATCACCTTGCTTGTACGTGGACTATTTCCATAAATGCATTTATTCATTCATTCGTACCAGCCAGTATACATGATGGTGCATGGACTACGTATCGATCAAGTTATGCTGATCTGACCAACCAGATTGGTTAGGCACCAAAACGCATCAGTGATTACCGTAGGACGGTCAGCATCAGCTTGAGCTTAGACTTCTAAAGAGGATGGACTGTGGCACCTTCGTCAAACATATTATTTGACATGTATCAACGTTATCAAACGCTAAAGATCAACGCCCTAACAAATCCACCACAGACATCTACACGGTGACACGAACACGAAGATATTAGTGCGCATGCGATGAAACCATAGTTTCGTCGTTTTTCAGTATGCCGAAGTCGGGCATTATACTGCTGGTACACCGGAGTTCGGTGGCCGAACTCGCTTCAAATCACATCCCAGAACTCCCACCCCCGTGACATCCTACAAGGTAGTTCCTACATTGTGCGTCGAGACAGTCGGAGGCAGCCAGCATGACCCTGAGTTGAGCCGACGACGAGCGACAGTGGTCGCAACTGTGGACCTAAGTACCACAAGAATCTCGTCACGGGATCTACAACTACCGCTTCGTATGCTTCCCCGATCTCAGTTCTCAATTTGCTGTCGTCCGCCGCTGTCTGACATGGCCAGCAAGCGTCCGCCCCCTCAGGTACTACCTCAGTTCTTCGCAGAGGACATTGAGAAGGACATGATGATGGTTGAAAGCTTTTGCTCGACATTGTCGCTGGAAGACTTAGAGTTCTGCTCCGTCCGCTTGGATGATTGCATGACCTCGAGGGCTTCCTCTCCTATGTCGCCGTCTTGTGTAGACTCGCGACCGCAGCTATACGAAGCAGGCAGCGACAATACCACACGTGATAACGAGCACGAGCGTCTCCGCAGGCGACAGCGATGCTATGAGAAGCGCTATCGAGGCCGCAAAAGAGTGAGTAAAGCCTTTCTGCTGTGTCCTCAAAGAAGTGTCCCCCACTAAGTTAGAGACTAACCGACTGAGTGTAGGCCAACATCGCGGTACAACGGCAGACGTGGCTGCGGCTGGAGATAAAGCTGGCGGACGCACGAAAGAAACACAGCAAGGCACTCGTTCGGGTGGGAGATGGTGCACCTCTGCGGGCCAAACTGCTGTTTTTACTACTTGAAGAGCGCGCACTACGGCAGGATCGTGTCGCGATGAAGTCGCTTTGTGCATGGGAGGAAGTTTCACGCATCCGTGAGTATACCGACAAGGAGGTGCTACACACACG